GATTGGGTCAGATGTAGCACTTTGCACTATAACCAAAATGTTCATTTTTTGTCTTTGTTGAATGACCAGGATATACTAGAGAGAGTGAAAAGCCACAAAGCGGCCGTCCCGATGGTGTCTCCCCTCATGTCCTTAAAACCCGTGCGTGTCAGTAATCTCCTGAATCACAAATGTGCAATGGCCTAGGAAGAGAATAAGGTATTATATGTGAAAGGACTTCAATTCAATTCAATTTATTTTTATAAGATAAGATTACTTTATTAGCCATATACAATTTCTTGCATTAGGAATTCATCTTTTGCATACTGAAACTTGCTCTCCATGAGCCACAGACAGGGAGAGAGGTTTGGGGTCAGAACGCAGGGTCAGCACATCTAGAGTAGTTGGGGTTAAGGGCCTTTCTCAGGGGCCCAACAGAGTAGGATTCCTCTGCCAGCCACAGGATTTGAACCAGCATCCTTCCTGCCACAGACACGATCCTTAGCCACAGTGCCACCGCTCCGCCCCAGCACCTTATATAGCACCTTTCACAACAGGGTTGCCCCAAGGTGCTTAACAATGGAAGTGACCATACATGTGGTGAATACAGAGCAGAAGACCAGAAGACAACATAGGAGAGGAACCAAAAACTCCTTAGTAAGGAGAAAAATAACCTCTAGGAGTCCAAGGTCAAGTGGCTGTCCAACCCCTTTGGGCATGCTAACATTTTATTTATACAATAAAAAAAAGGAAATAAATGAATGAGGGTATTAATCCATCCATCCATCATGTCTTCCGTATGTCAGTAGTCCATGTAGATCAGCAAAATCCTCCTAAACCATAGCTACTGTATATCCACGATGTCCCTCTATATCCATGGCAGTGATGAAGTATCCAACTCAGATGGTGCCCAGCCTGGGCGCCATCCGGATATGTGGGGAGAAGAATAGGATAGTTTGTATCTACAGTATCTGTGTAGATGTATCTGTGTTGGTGGGCCAACACAGAGACACACAATGGCATGTACAGCAGCACCAGCAGCCATGGTTGCAGCAGGCTATAATGTTGGGTGTGAGTAGGCTAGGCTGAAGTAATAGGTCTTCAGTCTGGATTTGAATACTGAGATTAACAACATAAATGAAAGCGCTACACTGCCATGGAACGGTGCCATCTTGAAGCCCTCCACAAATACATTACAAGAGTTTAGAAAATTTAGACAACTTATAGCCATCGTCGGCAGCTGAAAATACCTTAGCATCTGACAGTATTAAAATCATGACTTTACAAGTATTTTCAAAGAAGATATCCCCAGTCTCATGGATGTCTCTACTCTGGAACACTCTTGTCATTTCTTTTTGAGCAACACCCTGCAAAAACAGAATATGTCCTATTGTGAATTATATATACTGTATACAGTATAATGTTCACAGTATCTATAACTTGTGATTATAGAATCACCTATAAAGAAATCACCTGCAGATTACTGTCTATGCAATCAACTCTTAACCTAGCAGCTGTTTGAATTTCAAGTATTCTTTTGTGATATCTGTCAGCAGGACAGCCCAAACTGAAACTTTCTGACTTGCACTGAAGTCCGTTGTGAGGTGAAAACCAGCGGCAGTGAAACGGGTAGAGACAGTCAGAATTGTACATAGTCCAAGTGCTATAAATGCAAAAGATGAAAGAGAGGGAGAAAAGGAGGGTATGTACTGTGTAGTATTTAGAATTTAATGTGAGGAAATGACAGAAAGGATTAAGAAAATCTGACATCTGAGGCTGGTTAAACACGGCTGTTGTTGCTCTTCCCAGACTTTCATGATAAATTCAATTTAGAAGGTGTGGCTCTGATGTTTTCTCTTTGTCCATGTTTTTCAAACATGAACACGTGCTGGGGCTCAGCATGGGACAGAAGCCATTTTTCACTACAAGGCTTATTGTCTGTAAATCAATGTAAACTTTGTGTTTTTTTTCTTTTTACAGTTGCTCTGCAGACCATCGAAGGGACTGAAGGGACTGCAACTCCATATTGTTGGGCTCTATTGCTTCTTTTGGTGCTGTGCTGTGTTTCTCTGGCTGCCGTTATTGCTCTAAGCATCTTCTGTGAGTACTCATCCATGTTTACCCAGAAAGAATACATTATATCATCTTACTCTTACAGTTATTTCAAGACAGCATTTAGAAAGCCTTTGCATGTTGGTATGAAGTAAATCTAGATACAATAGGTAACACCTGGCTAGGGTCAACACTTTTTTTGAGATGCAGTGATCCCAGATTCAGTGATCAAAGCAATCATAAAGTTTACCTTGGCTTACCTCAGTTAATTCTGGGTAAATGATTATAAGTTCATCAACAGTAGAGGATATAAAACAGGGAGCCAGAGAAAGTGAAGGAAGACAAGGCACAAGAGAGAGAGGTTAGAAGAAGAGGAAACTATCAAAGGCAAGAGCTCCTTATTCATTCAAATCATCTGGAAAGACAAGATTGGAGCTAAGTATTTGAACCTCGTTAAGAGAGCTTGCTATTCTGTTGATGTTAGAAACTCTGATTTCCTGTGTAAAGAATCCTTAATTTAAAAACGGCCTGTCCTGATTAGTGTGCACATTTTTAGAATAGGAAGATAGTTTCCCATTCATTTTAATGTCATCCAGGTTTACAAAGAGAGATGTTTAACCTCAGGTTGTATTCTATTTAGTTTAGAAAGCGGCTTTTCTCTTCGTATGGCCTTTGCAGACATTATTTGAGAGTGAACACTTGGAAACCTTGGAGCCTGCCTATTGTCTGGGTGGATAGGGTATTTTGTAACACAGGGTGTGTTGTATGTCTATGTTTTGTGTTGTTTAGTGTGTGTATTGTCACTGTTAACACATATTTATTTAATCAAGTGTGGCTGAATTATTATACTTTTTACAAAAGCTATGCCAGAGCACAAATGCTTCATATGCCGGAACAGGAACAAGGAGTTAAAACAGAGTAACGAGGCCAGGAGCTCCGAGCAAAAACTGAGATCCAGTAAATTCAGCAGATTTTAAATGATTTTTAATTTCTTTACTGCAGTAACTTTGAATTCTGTGCTATTTTTGTATGGTGTGTTAGCTAAGGATAGACAGATGAGGCAGAGCTCTGTGGAGTTCCTTTCTTTCTCCACACTTAAACCATTTTTTATTAATATGTCAAAGGTTCATGTTGGAAACAACATTGTTCCAAAACTCTCCTGGCTCATCTTTGTACTTCCAAACAAATTCTATAGCATGTTCGAGGAGAGTTAAGACGTAGGCATACATGATCAGTTCTGAAACACCCTCTCTCATCTTTATTGATAAAGAAACTAATGAAGGCAGCAGTAGAATTGAGTTTGAAGTATAAAGAAACCACACAATCCAGCCAATCCATGGTTTCTGTATATATTTGTTCAGTCGTAAAAATGAGTCAGATGTTATCTTTCAGATTATGTTTTGTCATGTTAGTGAAAACCAATGGAATTCTGTGAACAACTCACCAAAGGTTAAAAGTGTAATCCATTGAAGGGCTCTACACATGAAAGGAAATGCCTGACATCATAAAGTTCAATAATCTACACAGAAAAAAAAATCATGAAAAATGTCTATGTAATATTAATAAGAACCATTATTAGTCTGAAGCTAATACCAACAAATTGTATTTTTTCTATTACTGATGTAATATTAAAGTACATTAATAATGAAATTTACTTTTATCATTTATATATATAGATACCTATATTTAATTTAGAAAACAAAAGTGTCATTGCTATTGTACAATATGTACGAGCTGAACTCTTTACATAGCCATGAATTGTTTCTCCAGGCTCTCGTGATGTTCATCCTGAACTAAATGCCTGCCCACCTCCATCTTCACTGTTATGTTCCTGTAATGTTCTGTGAAGACGAGCCCTGTGGAATCTGAACAGTAGGATGGATGAGGGGCCACTATGGGAAGTGTTACTCTATACCCATGAGATATGGCACCTGGGCGGGGGAGACAGGATTATCTTTAATAAATTTGTCTGCTAGGCAAGCTGGTGTCACTGCCTGATATTTTTCATTTTGGATATTAACTTCATTAACATGCAGTATATACACAGACCTACCACCAAGAAAATAATTTCTCAGAATATTCTGTGTTCTCCTTCTCTTTCTTCTGCAGACTTTCAGAATTCTAGGTATTCTGGTGAAATCAAATCAGACTTTAGAAGTGCGTTCCAGAAGGCAGATGCCCAGCCCACAATCAACCTAATGAAAACCAAAGAAGTGCTTCAGATGGCCATTAAAAGGGAAGAACAGAGGTGCAAGGACATTCTTAACAGAGCACAAAGGAAGTGCAAAAGTTCCTTCGTCATACAAGAGAGCAACAATAGTGCCATTGCTGGCCCAGAATTCATAACAAATCTCAGCATAGCCAGTATGGAATTGAAGAGAAGCCTAATCAAAGCAGAAGAAGAGTGCATTGGTGCAATGAACAGGTCTACTCAGGAGTGTTTAAAGAGCATCAGCCAGCTACATCTGGAATTGGATAGTTTCCACCATGTATCAGATGAGGAATATATGATGAGCCTTACTGGTTCCGAAAGGTCATGCCAGAATATACTCAGGACAGCAAATCAGAAGTGTAAACTGTCCCTCAGCAAAATGCATCAGGATTGCTTGAGAAATCTCAGCAGAGCTGATGGGATGTTTGAAAGTGTCCTTGCTACAGAGAAAAAAGAGTGTATCAGAAATCTAACTATAGCTGACGTGCGATGCAGGAGTTCCCTTAATGAGGTTCATTGGCAATGTAAGACCAACGTTAGCATTGTGAACCAACAGCACAAGTTTAACCTTAGTAATCAGGAAACGTGGTTTAAAAGAATCATTGATAAAAAGGAGGAAGCGTATTCAGCTTCCCTCCTTCAAGCAAAACAGGAGTGTCAAGTAAATCTTAACAAATCTCATCTAGAGTGTCAGACTTCCATCAGTGAGGAACAGCTGCAGTGTAAAAGTCACCTCAGTAAGACGGAGCAGGTCTACAGCATGTCTGTCCAGGAAGCCAAACAGGACTGTGAGAGAAACTTTTCTCAAGCCCAGCAGAAGAGTAAGGCCACACTTAGCAAAATGGTTCTAGACTGTAGAAACAAGCTCAGCAAAGCGAATCAAAATTGGGAGAGGGCACTCACTGCAGCACGTCAAGACTGTAAAAGCAATCTTACTGCTGCAGACGAGGTGCATCTAACAACTCTGCAGGAAGTCAAACAAGAATGTTCACAACACCTTAGCAAAGCACACCTGAAGTGTAAGACAGTAGTCGATGAAATCAAACAAGAGTGTAAGTCTAACCTCAGCAAAACAGAGCATGACTACACGAAATTGCTCCAGGACACCAAACAGGAGTGTGAAAGCAGCCACACTCTTGCCCGCATGGAGTGTAAGGCTACCCTCGGCACTGCAGACTTAGACTTTAGAACCAACATTAGCAGGATCAACCAAGACTGGGAGAGAGCCCTTGGTGCAGCACATGGTGAATGTGTAAGGAACCTCAGTGCTGCTGAGCAGACATATGGAGCATCTCTTCAGCAGGTCACACAGGAGTATATGCTGAACCTCAGTAGAGTGGATCTAGCGTGTAAGGCTTCCTTGAGGTTAATGAGCCAAGTGTGTGAGGCAAACCTCACCCACTCCAATAGGAACTGTGAGAGTCTACTGAGGCTGTCACACACTGAGTGCAAGGCTTCCCTCAAGGAAATGGATGAGCAGTGTCAGAGGAACCTCACACAAGCGAGTCAACACTATTACACTACCCTTGTTGAAGCACAATTAGAGTGTAAGAGAAACCTCAGCATAGCAGATGAACAGTGCAAGACCAAGCTTAGTATGACAGACCAGACATGTAGAAAATACCTCAATGAAAAGGAGCAGATGTATTCAATTTCTCTCCTACAGACAAGCCAGGAGTGTAAAGAAAACCTTACCAAAGCAGATTTAGAGTGTCAGGCTTTACTCAAAGATGAACAGTTGGAATGTAAAAGTAACTTTAGTAGGACAGAGTTATTGTACAAAAACTTGGTTGAGGAATCCAAACAGGACTGTGAAAAAACCCTCTCTCAATTCCATCAGGGAGTCAAGGGTACCCTCAGTACTTTAGACATGGACTGTAGGACCAACATCAGTAGAATGAACCACGAGTGGGAGAGGACCCTCAATGCAACACAATGGGAATGTAAGGTCAATCTCACTAGGCTAGACCATGAATGGCAAACTGTCCTTGACGAAGCTGGGCAACAATGTGCGAGTGCTCAAGGTGCAGCAGACCTCAGCTGCAAGAGAGCCCTGCATGAGGCACAACAGACTTTTCACAGTGACCTCAGCAGAGTGGAGGAGAATCTGAAGAGTCAAATTGTTCAGTCTGAGCAAGAGTGCCAAATTAACCTCACAAAAGCCAAGAGAGAGTGTGCAAGTACTCTACGTGCAGCTGAACAACAGTACCTCCAAAACCTCACTAGAACACAGGAAGAAAGTAGGAAATGTCAGACGTTCCTCAGTGAAACAGTTCACGAGTGTGCAACAAACCTGATGACATCAAAGCAGGTATGTAAAAGAACTCTCAGCAGAATGAAGGAAGAAATTCAGAAGAACCTCATGGAAGCCAAACTAGAATGTACAAGAAATCTCACTTCTTCAAACCAGGAGCTTCAGAGCATTCTAACTAAAGCCAACCAAGAATGTCAGAAAAACCTCAGCCAGATTGAAAGGGATTTTCGCCTTCGAGTTTGTGGACATGTCAGAGGTAAGCCAGACTAGAAGCGTAAGCCTTATTTCATGATAAGAGAAAGTAAAAAAAAAGACAATAAAAGAAAACTTTTTGCATGTATTAGAACTTTTAGTGTTCATTAGATCCTGAGGAGTATTGAAGGATAGGCATATTCTGCAGATTTGATGTTCACAATGAAACTACTACTGTACTGTATTAATCCCAGCTGGAGTGACAGTTATTACAAGTAATAATGGTTTCATATTTTTGATATAAACTCCAAATTAGAGTTAATCATAAAAAGGCATATTATTTATTGAAACTCCTAGGAATTGTAACAGAACAGTTCTTTCCGGACCCTATGCAGACAACACAATCCAGAATAGTGAGGAAGGAAAACACTAGGGAAAAGTCATGCAGGAACAGGGATGAGAACAGGGGGGCGTGTCCATGCTGTGCTGGTGATTCGGGGAGGTGTGGCCAAGGCGAACAGTCCAGTTTAATTCCAAAGGGAGAATCCAAAACAAAAGCAAAAGGTCCACAAACCAGGGATTAAAAACAGATGCCGGGTCGGGACCGGTGGGGGGAACAAGGACAGGAACAGGAACAGGAACAGGAACAGGAACAGGAACAGGAAGCTAAAACCATAACAAAGCCAGGCGCAACCAAGTCCCAGGCTCACATGATGCAGAGATCAGATGCAGAGCAACAAGTGAAGTGAGCGCCTGGCTTATAAAGGTGAACTGAAACAGGAAACAGGTGCGGGGAATGAGACTAATGAGGAAGGGCTGGAGCGCCCTTAAGAGGAGGGGTTTGCGATAGTGACAGGAATCAATTCCTTGTTAAGGTCAGTGCTAATTTGTTCAGTTGTAAAAATTAGTCAGATCTGCTCTTACTGTATGTTTTGTCATGTTAGTGAAGACAATGGAATTCTGTAAACAACTCACCAAAGGTTAAAAGTCAAATCCATTGAAGAGCCATTGTAAATCTGAAGCTACAACTCTGAGAAAACACACATACTCTTGTCTCTGTACCAAGAAACACTATTACAACAATTTTGTTTTAGAGAACGTTTCATCAACAAATGTTGACCATTAATATTTAAGTTTCCTTTAATCATTTTTATTTTCTGTATTTAATTGCTATGGTGTGTACGTGCCGAACCCTTTACATAGATGTGAAGTTTTTTCTCCAGGCTCTTGTGATGTTAACCCTGGACTAAATTTCTGCCCACCTCAATCTTCACTGTTATGTTCTTCCATGTGCTGTGAAGACGAGCCCTGTGGAATCTGCCCAGTAGGATGGATGAGGGGCCAGCATGGGAAATGTTACTTTATATCCATGAAATATGGCACCTGGGTAGAAGCCAGTCAACAATGCTATCAGTTTGGATCCCGTCTCCTAGTTCTGAACAATTATCAGGAGCTGGTGAGGTGTTCCTTCATTTCTATTACATCTACACCTATGCCGATCAGAAGAGCATAGCAGGTGCTCTTTTTGTAGAAGGTTCTGTTTGTTTTAATTAAGTGCCTTTGCAGTCGACTAATGGATTACTTTTCTGCAGGGTGCTGTCCACTTTGAAAGTTTAAAAAATATGTTAAATTAGGCTTGCTTCTTTTTTATCTTATGGATGTACAGAGGTGAATATCTCTAATTCCGCCCACTTGCTTATAGTGAGTTCTGATGCCTTAATTGCATTTTTATTATTAGGCCTGTGATGTAGCAAGCTGAGGCTTAGTAAAGTAAATTGTACACACCTGCCTTGATTCACAGATTGGACTACTGTGTAATGGAATTCCAGGCTAATCAGAAGATCCCATTTCTGTCTGTGGAATGGAATTTCACAATTTACTTCAGTGAAGGAAGAGGCTTTAACTAAGCCTCAGCTTACTCCATCACAAGGGTTACTAAATAGTGGAGCTTCAGACCATGGCACATGACATAATGTAAGCAAGTGAGGAGCGTTACATGCAGATAACAGAAATATAACCACGTGATTAATTATGGGAAGACTGGACTTGATAAAACAACTTATTAAGAAAGATGTAGTGTAGGTCTATGCGTTAATACTTAATAATTTAAAAATTGACATCCGTTTTTATTATACTCACTAATATATATTTTTTACATTGCGGCAAATAGCTATGACCGTCCAATGTGATGACTGAACAGGACCCTGTGGCAGGATCAGGCAGAAGTGGAGACAGGCAAGGTACAGGGCCTGGAAAACACAAACACTAGGCAAAAGTGTCCCCACAAAAGCAGAGGAGGGTCAAGTTCAGAAACACTCAAAAGGTCAGGTCTTGAGAAAGCAAGGGTCAAAACCAAAGTATAAGTGCAGAGCAAAACTGAGCAGTGAACAAGCCTGGAAGCTAGTTTAAACAAATGAGCCGTCTTGATGATATTGGAAACAGGTGTGGACTGAAGCGTCAAGGCAGGAAGTAGTTACAGGAAACTTTGTTGCAACAGAAATATCATAGCTTAGAGCAGAGCGCTAGTGCCAGAAAATTCACGACCATGGAGAGTCCTTGAAATAGACCACCCTTCTGCATCTTGGGCTTTATAATAGTTCATGATGAAGTTAGAATATGAGTAAGTCTTTGTTACTGCCATTACACTGGTGCACACAGGGCTTGATTGAAAAAGCAAATTCACCAAAGTTCCCCAAAATGAAACATCACTTTTATGTTCTGATCTGTTTTAATCTCCACCATTATTACATTATCCACTGTCGTTATCCATGCCAGCAGCAATATCACTCTACAGCTCCCAGCAGTCAGCCTGGATAGACCTCCTAGGAAAAACTAAGGCTGCTGCTGTTAGTGGGACCAGCAGGGGGCGCTCACCCTGTGGTCTGTGTGGGTCCTAATTGCCCCAATATAGTGACGGGGACACTGTAATGTCTAAAAGGTGCCATTCTTTGGACGAGGCGTAAAACTGAGGTCCTGACTCTCTGTGATCATTAAAAATCCCAGGGCATTTCTCGAAAAGAGTAGGGGTGTCACCCCTGGTGTCCTGG